TTTCTCAGAGTATGGCCACAATCCAATCCATCTCCATTTCTTCCTGCCTATTTGTTTCACAATCGGTTCCTGCTGTGTTGGTTCGCTCATTGACAGAGATCACACCCTGTTGCTGATCTTTTCTGGCCGGCCGGCCATCTGATCTTGAGTGGTATTGAGCGAAGACAACTAGCTGTTAATGAAGGTGTGTAGTTTGTTTGAGATGCTCTTTATGACGCGCTGGCCAAGTCTCTGATCCGTATAGCACGTAGCACTGACTGACTTCACATTGGAGTGGAAAATCCGGATCTTATTTTCACTTTCATGCTGAGTGCTGTCAGTTGACCTCCACACAGACTTGAGAGTAATGAAAGCTTGTCTTGCTTTCCAGATTCTTCCTTTGATATCCCCGTAGGTTCCGTTCGCCTGTAGTTGAGACGATGCTTCCCAGGTAGGCAGGTGAAGGAGGTTGTTTCTTTCAGGTTCCTCCCATTTATGCCGGCTGATTGTTGTCTGTTGTTGTTGTTGCTCTTGTTGTTCTTGTCCAGGAGTCTTCATCACCTCTGTTTTCTTTATGTTCACCTGAAGTCCTATCTTCTCTGGATGCTTCTTCTGCCAACTTGTTGCTTTTCGCTTGCATATCTTCCAGTTTGTGGGAAATCAGACATATATCATGAAATTGAGATTTACACAACGCAATTTCACTCATACAATCAAATGATGATGACTACACGCATATATCTTGATGAAGTTCAAGCGCATAAATTATTATTCGACTTCTAGGCTTCATAATAGTCTTAACAACGACGTCATGATCAAGGTGACTGTTAGGCTGTACACATGAGAACAACACTGTCATGACGTTGTAGCCGATTAGAATAACAGCATTATTTTGATGTGGTTGTGTTCCCTGAACAGGAGTCAGACAAGGGTGCTTATTATCACCAATGATATTCCTAATTGTGGTGGACTGGATTATGCTTCGTCAGACAGTGGGAAACGAGAAGACACGGATATCCTGGACCGACGTGAAGAACCTAGAAGACCTGGATTTCGCGAGTGGATGATTGACATTTGATGTCACACAGAATCGAAGACTTACAAGCGAAAACCTACAAACTGGTCGAAGACGCAGCCAGAGAGGACAGGACTCCAGGTGAACATCGACATGACGGAGGTTATAAAAATTACCAACCAACCAACCAACAATAACAACAGCAAAAGCAACATCCAACGCCAATCACCAGCACCGACAAGAGCGATTTGAAAGAGGTTACTTCATTCACTTATCCAGCTAGGAAGCATTGTCTCAACTACAGGTAGGTGGAACGGACGAGGATGTCAAATCGAGAATCGGGAAGGCGAGAAACACATTCATCACCCTTAAACCAATCTGGAAATCTTCGTCACTCAGCAACACTCAACAACAAAATTCGGATTTTCAATACAAACGACGTCAAGTCAGTCAGTTCTTCTATACGGATGGATCAGAAACTTGGCCAGTGTGTCACAAAGAATATTTCCAACAGCCTGTTGCAGACCCTTATCAACAACGACAACTGTCTTCGCTGGCTCTATACTGCAGATCAGATGGCCGGAAAGAACAAGAATCACCAACAAAAAACTATGGGAAGAAACAAACGAAACAAGAACCAATCCCTCAACAAATATGCAGGAGAAAGTGGAGATGGATTGGACACTCGTTGAGGAGGCGTTTGGGTGACATCGCCTGTCAGGCCATCGATCGAGTGGAACCCGAAAGCGAAGCGGCTGGTAGTGGGACGTCGAAGGGTGACATGGAGGAGATGGTGTGAAGAGGAGTTGAAACAGTATGGACTAACATGGATGGAGGTGAAAAGTACAGCAGAAGACAGAAGCGAGTGGAGACGTGCAGTTGAAGCCCTATGTTCCACTAGGAACCCAAGGGAATAATAATATTGTGTTCTCTGAGCCAGCTGGATAGTTAATTTGCGAAGCTCTCATCGCTCTACTAGGTGACATCTTCCTTCAGAGCATACATTTCAATTTGAATTGTTGAAGTAAGCTTTCAGATTTTTCCACGAGTGAGTTTATTAAACATCTCTCCTGGTTGGTGACCACCGTGAAGGTGATTGGTTGTTTTTGTGTGTTTTCACACCTTCTAGTCTACTTGTATTGTCAATCATTGTTTCTTTGACTTGAACTTTGACCCTTTCTGTGTGTGAGGTTTGTTTCTTGTCGGTTGATAAATTTTGTCTATCTCGATATGTCTATCTATTGATTGATGATTCACTGGAATACCACACAGGCTTCTAAAAATTCTCTAGCATTCTTGGTGTTATTTCCTCTGTCTTATATTTGAACATCATCCTAATCGAACTGATGTCCGTGGTTGTCTGTATGTAGTGATATGAGGGAGTGGATATCATGTCTTTTGACGGCTAGCTTATGTTCGTGGATACGAAGACGAAGAGCAGGGACGTCCACTTTGGCCAAAGTAGTGTTTTTCGCAGTTGTTACAATTTATTTTGTAGATGATGTTCGTTTTGATGAAATTCCGTGGAGTTTCAAATTGAAGCGTATGCGCTGAAGATGTCACCTAGTAGGGTGATGAAAGCTTTGCAAATTAACTACTATCCAGCTGGCTCAGAGAACACAACCACACCAAAATTCTAGGAATACGCCAGTCTGTTGCTATCAATTTTAGAAAAAAAATACACACTACTGATTGACTTAAATGAGTAGGTGCATATCACTTACATCAAAAACAGTACTGCTTGACAGCTGGCTAGATCAAGGTTATGAAACCACCAGACGGTTGTGTTTCGCTCATCTGCAGCCGAGCTCACCTAACTGGGGTCTGACTCATCTCAGAGAGCTAAATCAGTTCAAAAAAGGCGTGATTTCTGACTAGCCACATTATCGAACCGGTTGGACATCAGTCAGTAGTCTAAACTAGATGGTCTCACTTTTTAAATCCCTCAAAATGTCAGACTACTGACTTCTCCTTTAGACATATAGGTGATCTACAACAACTGGTTAGTGCATATGATACCTGCAGCATTGAGGAGATTGTAATAGTAGAAACTGAGTCTAACACAAAATATCTCGGTATAGTTCTATCTATCCTAGACTTGAGTTTCTCAAGTCTATGGAAAATCAACTCACACAGATCAAATCCTGAATTACAACAGCAACAATCCAATAGCACACAAGAGGAATTGCATACAAACACTATTCAAGAGGGCCAGCCAGGACTCATTACAGCACTACCACCTTAAGGAAAATTGGAGAAATATATCTCATGGACGTCTTCCAAAAGAATGGATATCCACGGAATTTCATAAAAAGACATATACCCCCAAGACAACACACAAAAACAACCAAAGAGTCACGTCCAAGGTGGTCACCAACCAGGAGAGATGATTAATAAACTCACTCGTGGAGAAATCTAAAAGCTCACTTCAACAATTCAAATTGAAGTGTATGTGCTGAAGGAAGATGTTTCTTGCCTAGTAGGGCGATGAGAGCTTCGCAAATTAACTATCCAGTTGCTCGCTCAGAGAACACAACCACATCAAAATCATCCACGTGAGCTACAAATCTTCTCTATCATACCTAATAACAGCATTAGTTGCAAGCATTTCTCCTAAAGTAGAATCCTAGATTGTGCGATTGAACAACAACCCTCGTCAAATAGTACCGAATCAGCAGTTGAATAGAATAAATTCGTCGACTCTATCTGTGACTATGCTGCTGACAATCCCATTATAGATATCAAAATTATCAACCTTTAATCAGTCCCTTTTTTGGTTTTTAACTGAAAACGTTTATATATGTCCAAACCAAGTTCACTTTTAACAGTTTGGGTATATGATATTCATTATGATAAAGGTTGTTTTCTTGTATTTCCCAATAAATGAAAAACAAAACGGTATTGTTTTTACTGACGTTTCGCTATTTAATGCTGCTAATAGCTTTATCAGAGTAGAATTATTAAACCAAAATTTACAAAATCCACTCAGCATATATATAATAAAGAGTTAAGGGGTGAGAAAATAGACTTAGATCATGTTAAAAGGACATATTGAAAGTCAAAATAACAATGAAGATCACTAAACCAAATAACACAGGTAATAGTACATCTCTTATGATATCAAAACAAAGTTTACTAACTTGATCATCGTTCGTCACTCTGGGGTCATCTTTCGTTGTCAAGTTGGTCATTTGGTAAAGATAACAAAATCAAGTGTAGATAACTGTTGGATTTGATCAGTGTGTAAAAATTATAAAACAGCGTGTGTTTATATATTGAAATTGCATATCACATTCGTGTTGATTTTGTCACTTCATGGGGGAGTGGAGGGGTGTTATAACCAGGTCAGATTCTGTTTTAGTCCATCATTCTTATCCAGGCAATTTGGATTCCACTTGATATGAAGTGCTTCTGATATTAGACGTTCTTTATGATTTCTGAAGTTTTTCTGGATAATGATTTCAATATTGTCAAAGTCAATTTTGTGGCCTGATTCTATAGCTGATGATTTTTAAGCTTTTCTAGTTCAGCTGGATTTATTTCTCGGTTGTGGACCAGAGGCAGATCTACGGTGTTCATTTCTTCTGATTTTGATTTCTCTCTAGCGATGTTTGTCCGATGTATATCGCATCACATTCCAAGCAAGCATTTTATTTTATAGACACAATTAGATAGAGAATCTTTAGGGATTAGGTCTTTTATATGGACAAGGTTGTTTCGCAATGTGCGTGTCTGCTGTTTTGAAGAAAACTCTGATGTCGAGCTTATTGAGTACTCTTCTGATATCGTCTGACGTCTCTGCTCTATATGGAATGACGACTGTTGAGGTCCATGTTTTCGGAATGCGTTTTCGACCATACTTAATGTCAGTGTTGATTTTGTTGATGAAGTTCCTTGGGTATGCTGTTAACAATCCCATTAGATATCAAAATTATCATTCCTTTTTTTGCTTTTTAACTTTAAAAGATTTATATTCTAATTTGTCTATTTCGTTTTATATGATTAGCTGCAGAAAAACCAATTCCTCTGGTACGATGTTACATACGTATCATTGGGCATACACTGGATGTCAGTCCAAGACCGCATGATATTCAAGCAGCCTTGAAAGCGATGGTGAATACAGCAGAAACTTGTACCAAGGGTATAATATCCTGGGGTAAAGAAGGCTATTATGGTATATCGAAAAGACGTAGTTCATTGACTATTGAAGACACTGAAGCTGCACATGCTAAAGTGCTAAAGCCAAAAGTGAATAAAACACAACGCAGTGGAAGTCAATCACAGTCGGGTAAGTAACTTAATCCTCTACTCAAGGAAGTTAAGACAATGTGGTATCACACAGTCTCTACTTCTAAAGTCTGTTAATTCTTGTATTCCGATTAGGGTACCACTATGCTGACTCGTCAATACTTTTGTAGACAGGCACTTGAACTCATGCAGGAAACTGACGAATGATATCTTGTCAGATTCTGAGAATCCTCTCTGTACAAAAATCTACTTACATTTCATCATGTAGGACTAGAAGCAACTATGGAGGACTTTCTGTTCAGACGACTAAGTATAAGAACGCCAAAAAACTTTATTTTGTAAACGTTTTATGTGATGAGAAGTGTATGAGGCATGGCACTACTAACTTGACTGACTCTGGGTTCGAACCCCGGTGGATGCGTACTGTGAAGAGTCCCAAACTAGGACGAAACAGCTGTCCAGTACTCCCAGGTTTTCCAGTGGTTCTCTAACCAATGTCAGCTGATGATGAAATCCTGTAAAACAGAATTACAAGGAGGTCCGTCCAAGTGCTTAGAGATCCATGCTGAACCAATCACGCCTGGTAGCTCAACAACAGTAAGTGATTCTGAGACACTAGATTCCTCATATTTTACTCAGTCCTTCATTAAAGAACAACGAAGTGGAGCTATCGTGTTTGGTGTTTGACAAATGATAATCGTGACCGAAAATGTTCTCCTAGAAAATGAGAAGATCCGTTTATTAGTGCCTCTGCTAACACTATTAGTACTAATACTGTTCCATTGAGATATCATTTTAATGAAGCAAAATTCAGTTCAGTATGACTGTGTTTGTGTCAACTGTTTATGAATGCAGTTGAATGTGTTCGAAGCCTGCAGTTGAGTTCTTCGTATATGGTGTTGACGGTGGCTATTCATCAATGAGGATATGTATTGTTCTAGTGAATGCAGATGTGGCGAGAGTAAATTGTGCCATTTCTGCAGCTTATTAGGAAGTAGACTTGGGGATAAACGAACTGGTTTTGAGGAGTCAGTGTTAATTCCGTTGCTATCTGTTCTTCGATAGTGTTTTTTTTTATTTTGCACTCACTTTTGTACAACTTCCCCATTGTTAATACTGTGAGTTATATCTGTAAATAATAGTATTAATAATAATTTACTTTATTCCAAAAACAGCACTACTTATAATACAGAATGGAATTCTCAGCATTTGTCACAATATTGCATCTGGTTTACTCCTCAAAATATAAATAGAATTAAAAATTAAAACAAAATTAATCGGACGAATTTGTCCACATTTACGACATAATTATCAGATATAATAATAATAACAGTGAGCTTGTTCCAAACAGTATTGTCGATTCAGTTTGGGAACTTTAGCATGTTATAGATTATTGGGTCTAATGTTCTGTTGATATAGAAGCATGGTGAGGGGAAATACAAAATTAACAGTCATAATACAGCTTAAAATTATGACCACACTTTTGAAAAAAAATAAACAAAACGAAAAAATTGAGAGGATTATGAATATAAGAAGTACAATAACAATAACAAGGTTGATGTTGTAAGGATGGAGGAAAATGGTTTATTTAGTGGTGCTAAGAAGGTTAGTTAGTTCATGTCTGACACTATTTTCATCACATAAAGTACGTGCCACCAAATATGGTATAGTGGAATTTTTATACTTAGACGTACGTGCATAAATTCTTCTGAAAAGACTTCTTGTTTTACCTGAGGAGGAGACACAAGGTTGGAGCTGCGGGTAGAGTGGGTGCTCAGAGTCTGACAAAATTCCTTTAGCGAATTTGTTGCATGACATCAAGTGCCTATCAGTGACAATGTCAACGATATGGCCCAATGGGATACCACTCGTCCTACTGACTGACAGTCTTCAGAGTTCTACGAAGTATGACATAGTCCTTTTTAAGCAATCCAGGAGAGAATAAGCAGTGGTGAACAGTAAAGAAGAATAGGTAAAATACACGAGTTGACAAACTGTAAGAGGAGGAGTGGTTGAGTTATGCCTGAATGCCTTAACTTCTTAATGTAAAAAGTCAGACTAAATATTCTTTTAGAAATCGCTAAGACATGAGAGGACCAGGATAGGTCAGAAGAGAGAATTAATCCAAGATACTTAACTTCAGACTTGCTTTCTGTAACCATAACCATAAGTAGTTTTGTTTGCCACTGAGGTTTAACCCACCTAATGTATTCACACTCTATTTTGTTGTACAGTAATTACTTTTGTTATAGTTAGACATTATCTGCTGTGTTTACTTTGTTTATATACTCGGTTGAATATTGTTTATTGAAGACATATTGCACTCTGTGAGGCATTCGCGGTCTCTTTTTAATGTATACGTGGATGGCCGTTGACACGGAGTTGCAGTTTTATTAATTGACACATAGAGAATGTTCGTGTGACGGCTTCCAGCCACAAACACCTCACATTCTGAGGTTTGTATATTATATATATATATATGTCCAGACCAAGTTCACTTTTAACAGTTTGAAAAATTTGGGCATTGGGTATATGATATTCATGATAATAAAGGTTTTTGTATTTCCCAATGAATGCAAAACAAAAGGATATTGTTGCTCTTACTGACGTTTCGCTATTTAATGATGCTAATAGCTGAGATTTTGTAAATTCCGGTTTAACAATAATACTTTGATAAAGCTATTAGCAGCATTAAATAGCGAAACGTCAGTAAAAACAACAATATCGTTTTGTTTTTCATTCATTGGGAAATACAGAAACCTTTGTATATTATACCTCAATAATTTCATGCATAATATAGTACCGTATTCTAGATAAATCCTGTGCTTTTGGATCGAGTGGATTGTCGCTTCTAATTTCTCAGAAGGAAGCTGGAGAAATTTTTTTCGTTGCGGACTCTGGTAAATAGCAGTGACTAGCTGGTAAGATGTTGACTGGGATTCCTGCGCTATATATGTTATCTGCCTTTATAGCTTTAATGACAGTGTGAATGTTGAGTCTAGAAAGTATAATAAAGAGGCGAACAGTCAAGAGAATGGATAATTTGTTTCAGTGTCATTCTGAAAGGTCAATACTCAGCAGATGGTAATAACAAGAAACTGGCGTCGAAGGTGACAAGAAAGGCACTTGCATAACTTTGTAACAATAGTATAAGGGATGTGTGCATCAGAGGCAATACCTTGATAATTATGAAGAACATGAGGTTGAAACGCACTTAAATCAAAGAGTTTCAGTAAAATCATATTGATTTCACTAAACGATCCAAATGAAAAATCCGACAGAATAATGCTCTCCTCGAGATATCTTGTACTGATCACCTGCACTGCTTATCTGAGTCGAGCGCACAGATGTCCCTCATAGTTGGCATTAGTGGACATAGACGAGTAACTAAGGGATGACCGACTGACTGACTGACTCAGAAGAGTATGAACTGCAATATTGTTCAGTGTTCGCTTATGAATACTTCCAATGGGTAATGTAGTGATTTTATTTATTGATTTGCTAAGCAAGTTTTCAATCCCAAGTGAACAAACAGTTGCTTATGCAGCCAGATAAATTGAGTGCTGTGAAGGTGTTGTAGAGTTTGCATTCCAGTGTTGTCGGAGCATACTGTCTGCTATAGTCGTTCCTGGTTCTAGCTGATAAGGTGGAAGGGGAGAGTGGTTTGTAGAGAAGATGCTCAGAGTCTGACAAGGTACAATTTGGCAACTGCTTGCGTGAGCGCACTTGTCCATCCTACCTCCAACAGTACTAATGAGTTCGTTTAGCGATACTCGCCCTGTTGACAGCTTTTAGTGGCATAGACTTTAACGTTGCATAAAGGAATTGATTTAGAATGACAAGTGGAACAAGTGAAATAATACCGGGGACAATTAAAAGTGAGAGTAGTAATAGTAACAATTGACGTAATAAGGAAGAGTATACAAATTGAATAGACAAAAATGAAAAATTGGTAGAGCTAAAATATGATTAGGGATTACCATACTTTAGCATAGAGGGATCAAGACCATGAAAGTTGGAGGGGAGGAGTTGAACAAACTTTTTCTGTACACAGAGATCTGGATTTTCTGTTTCAATAGCCAAAGATGGCCTCAGCAATACAGATGAGTCGAGTACATAGTGATTTCGGCAAATTACTCTTTGCCTTGAAGATGACCTTAAAGGCGGCGGCAATAGAGATAGAGTGATCATTATCGCAAGGAGATGTTCAATGATCGCGCTTCTTATTGCTCCACTTCCACCTCTTCGTAACCACCATGCAGGATAGTGTTCTTGCACCCTCTTGGACAAAACTCATGTCGAACGACCGATATACCTTGCTCCACACGAGCAGGTGAATTGATAAACACACATAGAGTTGGTCAACAGCGGGATCTTGTCATTGTTCAGGTTATTGAACAATAATAATAGACGTTTGATTAGTGAAAAGCGGATTTTTTTTAAAAAAAAAAGAAAAATACTTATTCATCAATTTTTTCTTCAGTTGGATCTCGTCAGGAACAGCTAAGAATCCCTCTATCGCCTGCACAAGATACCGATGCTGGTAGCAGCGGTGGTTCACAAGCATCAGCAGTACAGAGGAAATCTGACACAGGAGTCTTTCAAACAGCCTCAGAAGAAGAAGCAGCAGTTCCTACGCAAAGAATAAGTATTGGAGCTGCAAGTGTAGGACAGCCAGGTGCACAATTATTGGCTTCTAGTGGAGCAATGGGTACAAGTGGTTCTTTGTGTGGTAGTTCAGGGACGACTACATCCATGGAAGGTGAAACAACAGTGAGTATATGCATTATTTATTCTCTTATTACAGTGTCGTTGTTTTTTCTTCATAATGTTTTTTTATTTCCTTCGCGTTCCCAGTGGAACATAGGGCGCCTTCAAGCTAGTGGCTTGAAGTTTCTGTAGTAGTGGTGTTTAATTTTTACAGGATGGAGTTGCTAGCCTCATGCCCAACCTTTCCTCTTTACCAACATTATTTCTGACTTAGCGAGGTAAATAAGTGCGTCCGTGGCCAGCCGGGGATCGAACCCTGGACCATGTGCATGGTCGACGAGCATCCTAACCGCTATGCCACCGACGCACTCTTTTCCCATACTAACAGTCCAAAATTAACCATTTTCACTATGAGAGTAATAACTAGTTGGATACCCACCTAACAAACACACACAGTGTGGCATAGGCTGCAGTTTCAGAAATTAGTCAACACCCTTTTAATACTGGTTAACAGTTCTTGAATGAACAGCAGGAATGTTTTGTAAAGTCACCGAGAGTCCCAGCGGCTTAATGTTCTATGAGCTATCTTTCCTTGTAGCCAGATGGTCCTGGGTTCCAAGCCTTTGTGGTGGATGAGTACTGAAGAAGAGTCCCAAACCGGGTTGACAAAACAGCTGTCCATTACTCCCTGCAAGTTTTCCAATGGTCCTCTGACCGATGTTAGTTCATGGTGAAATCCGAAAACCAAACCTATCCCTGCAAAACAATACTTGAATAACAGGGATAAAAACTGTAGTAGTATGTTTTGTCATTTATTATTATTGTTTGCTTTAATTCCTAGAGAAACATAGGGCTTCAGCCGTGCGTATCCATTGCGTTCGCTTCTCTGCTAGAGTCTTCACCTGGCTCCAAGTCTGCCCACACGCTCTCATCTCCTCTTCACATGACCTCCTCCAAGTCACCCACTCTCGCACTGATGACTAACTCACCGCTTCCCTTTCGGGTTCCACTCGAGTGAGGGCTTGTCTAGTGATGTCACTTGATGGTTTTTTTTCTCAGAGTATGGCCACAATCCAATCCATCTCCATTTCTTCCTGCCTATTTGTTTCACAGTCGGTTCCTGGTTGCTTCGCTCCCAGAGATCTCTGTTGCTGATCTTTTCTCGCCGGCCATCTGATCTTGAGTGGTATTGAGCGAAGACAACTGTTAATGAAGGTCTCCGGTTTGTTTGAAATGCTCTTTATGACACGTGGTGCAAGTCTCTGATCCGTTCTGTCCGTTCATTTCACTGATTTCCTTTAGACAAGTGACTACTTTCATTTGGGAGGGTGGGGGCATTCGGGGGCGGAGATGAGTTATATTCAATGGTGGGAGAGAAATATGAATACTACAAAAAATTTATATAAACGAATGAGGCACAGCGACTGAATAAAAGTGCCAGGGTTGACAGATAACAAATGACTGTTTGTTTGTTATTTTTTTGGTTTTGTTTTCCTTTAATTTCGTAAAGTAGGAAGAAAGAATTTTTAATATGTTTGTGCGTTGAAGTTTTTGTAGCAATTTGGTTAAGTTTTGCGGGTGGAGTTGCTAGCACCACGCCCCAACCCTCCCTCTTTATCCGGGCTTGGGACCGGCTAGAATACTAGTGACCTAGTAATCTAGGTGAGGCAAAGAATAAAGAACCTAGAAGACCTGGATTTCGCGCGTGGATGATTTATGTTTGATGTCACACAAAATCTAAAACTTACTTACAAGCGAAAACCGACAAACTGGTCGAAGAAGCAGCCAGAGAGGACAGGACTCTAGGTGAACATAGACAAGACAGAGGTTATGAAAATAACCAACCAACAACAACAATAACAACATCAACATCCAGCGCCAATCACCAGCACCAACGAGAGCGATTTGAAAGAGGTTACTTCATTCACTTATCTAGCTAGGGAGCATTGTCTCAACTACAGGAGGAGGAACAGACTAGGATGTCAAATCGAGAATCGGGAAGGCGAGAAACACATTCATCACCCTTAAACCAATCTGGAAATCTTCGTCACTCAGCAACACTCAACAACAAAATTCGGATTTTCAATACAAACGACGTCAAGTCAGTCAGTTCTTCTATACGTATGGATCAGAAACTTGGCGGCGGGTCACCAAGAATATTTCCAACAGCCTGTTGCAGACCTTTATCAACAGCTGTCTTTGGTCTATACTGCAGATCAGATGGCCGGAAAGAACAAGAACCAACAAGAAACTATGGGAACAAACAAACGAAACAAGAGCCAATCGCCCGAGAAATATGCAGGAGAAAGTGGAGATGGATTGGACACTCGCTGAGGAGGCCGCTGGGTGACATCACGCGTCAGGCCATCGGTCGAGTGGAACCGGAAAGGGAATCGGCGAGTGGGACGTCGAAGGGTGACATGGAGTAGATCGTGTGAAGAGGAGTTGAAACAGTATGGACTAACATGGATGCAAGTGGAAATTACAGCAGAAGACAGAAGCGAGTGGAGACGTGTAGTTGAAGCCCTATATTCCACTAGGAACCCAAGGGAACAATAATCATAATAGAAAAGGTCACTGTAAGATGAATTCAATTCCCATCCTTAAATCAAGTCAACCTGTCCCGGATCAGCCTAGCATTGTTGCAACACATTTATCTATGCCTAACGTGTCTATCCCACTTCGTTTGATGAACTGTGTATGTGTGTTTTTACTTCGATCCGTTTAATCAGACAGTTGAACTCATGACCCAATCAGAGTATTTTTGTGAACTGTTATTTTGCTGACCCATGTCTTACTTTGTATTATTCTGTCGAGTTTATCTTATTTATTGATTGGTTAAGTAGCCAATTGAATTCTATCTTTGTGCCTATGCTCTGTCTATCTCTTATTTGGGTTCATTCTTCTGCTGACTGCTTACCTGAACGGTTGTGTCTGATCCGGCTAGTTCGTAATTTTGGCTTTAACGTTTTTCCGCTCTGATAGCGGTGCCTTGCTTTCTGTTAAGCATTGTGTATTGTACTCTTGAAACCGTTAAGGTTTGTTGTATATTTATTTATTGATTTGTTAATTAATAGTACCGTAGAAGCAGTAACCGGCTTCTTGTTTGTTCTGGACCGGGATAGCCTTTATCTTCGCGTGACTTAATTTCAAGCGATATTGCGCTTACAGTCACTATGACAACATATAAACATCTTGTTATACTTTATGTGCAGTACTGATGTTTTCTGTTATGAATAATATATATGATCTATATATAATAGCTCTAATACTTTCTTCTAATAATACAACTTGACTTCTCCATATTATTATTCAATAGAAAAAGACGGGGAAGATGTCGATTGTCTACGATATTCGAGGATGTAAGTGTAACACTGATTACATTGTTTTTATCAGATTTCCTTTTTCTTTCTTCTTTTTTTCCTTTTTAAAACAACCTTGTGTGAATGATATTCACCGGAAAAAAGAAAAACAGTTTTCAGTGCAACTGCAGTGTGACTTTCAGTAATAAAAACTCGTAAAAACATAACTAACCCTTACAAACCAAACTATAGAAAATTAATCTGATGCTCGCTAGTGACTTGCTACAGGATGGGGTTTCCTGAAGACAGTTCGAGTGAGAAGTTGTGACCAGTGAGGTCCAACTAGATGGCACGTGTGTGGATGGATGTCCCACCAACGACAATGGTTGGGGTCGCGCTAAATCACGAATTGGTAGAAGTTAGAATTCATGAGCCATTGAATCGGGTCCCAGTGAGTGGCTGAATGGTATACGAGCCAGCTTGTCTTGTAACCGGAAGGTCCTGGGTTCGAACCCTTGAGGTGGGTGCGTACTGCCGATGATTCTCAAACTAGGATGAAACAGCAGCTGTCCAGTACTCCCAGCTGGTTTTCAATGGTTCTCTAACTGATATCAATCCGAGATCAACTCGTAAAAACATAACTAACCCTTACAAACCAAACTATAGAAAATTAAAAAAGCAACAACAACAAATCAAATTCATATCCTAGGACTGACATTGGAAGGTATATTAAGATTAAGGTATGCGGTTGGTTCGTGTTCACGTACAACTCTCTTCTCCGCTTCTTGTGTTCCGAGTAAAATATATCGGAATTTCAAGCTTTGAAGTCTCATTAGCTCAGCACTACATTACTCTGCACGCATTAACACACAACCACACAATAGCATGGTGGGAGAGGGTTAAAATTCTAAGAAGTAATCTAGGTAGGTGGAGATGGAGAGAGGTTGATTACTGAATCCTTGTTCATGGAATCTACACCCAACACATGCAATAGGAATGATTCATCACTCATACCCGAAATATGGAAAATACTAACACTACCAATCAAATCAAGTGAAAATCAAGTGAAAAACAATGGAACTATATAAATGAATTTAGGAAGTCGTGTGATTACCTTGATATGATTATGAGTGGCAGTAATAAATTGTGCTCGAAACGTGGTCATCAGTAAACATTACTGTATAACAACACTGTGTGACAGTTTATCAAAACAAAATTTACCCATAATGGAATTACACTCTACCACCACAGTGCACAAGTTTTATTCTTATATCAATGATATATCGTTTTGTTCTTTTTCATTCATTCATCAGGAAATACAGAAACTTTTATTATAATTGAATATTGAATTTATGTTATCTCTATCCGCAATGCCACTAGGTGAAAGAAAAGAGTTTTACTCTAAAAATGCTAAGAAAATGATCATGAGTAACACAGTCAAGTTTTTTTTTCTAAGCGCTCATTTTTCTTCAAGAGTGTGAGTTTTTCACTGACTCTGTAGAGTAACTAATAATCACCTTTAAAACATTCACTCTTTTTTTCAGTAATGCCATCGGATTTGCATGAACGAACAAATAACTGTTATCGTGATGTACACACTGACCGTGAAGTGTATCGTTTACGGACATTTCTACTGAGTAGTATGCTGCAAATGAAAAAAATTCTCTTCTGCCCAGATGGTAAGTTCCGATTATTTTGTATCAAAAAGAGTGAAGTATCTTGGACTTATCCTCTGTTCTGATCTCTCCTGGTCTTCCCATGTCTTAGCGATCTCCAGTGAAATATTCCGCCCCTTGACATTTTACATTAAGAAGTTAAGGCACTCGGGTATAACTCAACCCTTCCTCCTCTTACAGTTCATAAACTCCTGCATCCTACCTATTCTTCTTTATTGTTCACCCCTGATTATTCTTTCCTGGTTTGCTTAAAAAGGACTATGTCACAATTCGTAGAATGCTGAAGACTGTCAGTCAGTAGGGTGAGTGGTGTCCCAGTGGACTACATAGTTAACGTCGCAGTCGATAAGCACTTGACTTCATGCAGTAAATTTGCTAAAGGGATTTTGTCTGACTTGGAGCATCCACCACAGCACCCTCAGGTTTCACCTTGCATCTCCTCAGGTAGAACAAGAAGTAACTTCAGAAAACTGTATGCTCGCACGTCAAAGTATAAATATTCTATGATACCATACTTGGCACGTATTTTATGTGATGAAAATAGTGTCAGGCAAGAATTAACTAACCTTTTTTCATCTGGTTAATAAACAATCTCCTCCATCCATCCATCCTTATATACCTTCAAGTTTTACTTTTATTATTTTTATTATATTATTTGTGGTCCTGTTGCTTCTTTGTTTTACTTTCATTATTGCAAACACCAACTTATCTCTATGACTGCTGTAATCTTTGTTTTTCCCCTCACCATATCATGTAGAGAGAACATTATATTCAATATTTTTAATCATGCAAGGATTTGTATACCGTATCGACAATACTGTGTGAAACAAGCCCACGGCAATTTCCACTTGTATTATTATTATTACCTTAGCTGCTATCATTATTATTATTTCCACTTTATATGCTGCATGTTTTTTTAATATTACCCCTATTATAAATGCAGAAAAATTTTCTGTGATTAATTTTATTTATAATTTGAGGAAATTAGGTGCAATATTGTGATTAATGCTGGAAATTCCATTCTGTATCACAAGTACTGTTTTTGGAATAGAGTAAATCATTATCATTATTATTATTATGAATTCAAACAGTTGCTCATTTCTTCACTATAGTTTCCTTTTCTTATCTACAGATTATCAAGAAGGACTAAACTTTGAAGTAATTTATTGGGCGGTGGTGACTAGTAGTGGGATTTTAGAATGCGCATTTTTGGGATGTACCTGCACTCCCCGCTGAGATTCGGACACAGCACCTATTGTTGTTTCAAACGCTAAGGCTTTATCCACTAGACCAATTAGGCTACGGGGGCCACTACTATTCACTTAGAATATGCAGACAATATAGTCCTTCTAGGCGAGAACGCTGACAAAATACAAAGTCTTCTGAACACCTTGAGCTGCAGTCTACGAATGTTTCGCATGCAATTCGCTCCCGCCAAATGCAAGATGATGTTACAGGATTGGACTTCACCTACTCCTAGATTAGAAATAGGAAGTGAAGTGGTAGAGCACGTTGACCGCTTCACTCACTTGGGAAGTACCATCAGCCAGTGCCAACGGGTTGATCTCCGACGAAATCTCAGCACGAATACAGAGGGCTAGTTTCGCATATGCCAGTTTACGCCGTCTCTGGCTTAGTAGACGTGATATCCGGCTGGGCTATCGACCAGAGGGCGGGTGTACTGCTCACCAGTCCGCTCCATACTCCTTTATGGCTAGCTGTGAGACCTGGCCATTGAGAGTGGAAGGCATGAAAAGATTATCTTTCTTTGATCACAGGTGCCTCCGTTCTATCTCTCGTGTTAGTTGGTGGTATAATAATGTGAGAAATACTGAGGTTAGGCAGCGGTCGAGTGCTAGGTAGGTGGAAGGGGAAATCAATGGATGAGACTTTGAAGCTACATCGACTAAGATGGTTAGGACATGTGTTACGCATGTATGCCTGGTCATCGCCTTCCTCGACAATGGGCAGTGTTAGCTGATATAGGGTCAGGCCCGAAAAGAGCTAGCGGCGGTCAAACCGAAACATGGCACCAGTCAATGAAATCTACAACAGTTAGTCTATGCCACGTAGGAAGGTGTAGACTGGCCTCCTGACTGGTTGGGGTCCTCGGAACGGTAAAAACCAATGGTTGGAAACAATTGGTGATATGGCTCAAAATCGTTCTCAATGGCTGGCTGGCGCAGATGCAGCCAATCTCTGTTTTGTTCTTCGTTATTACTATTCCTTCTTTTTCACCATCCATCAAATTACTCCAAATTGATACTCAGACAATGTCGAGACATCCGCACAAGGAGGAGCGGACATGTCAACGCAGACCAAACGTTTTGGTGCAATCAATCAACGGGAAAATCAAAAATGAATTAGTACTAAATAAGGACCAAAGTTTATTTGAAGAGATATAGTTCAGTAAATAATATTCTCTTCACAATGCATCATCGTTCATGTCTCCCATTAGTATTTTAATGTCACCAACTGGAGTATTGTCCATTGTTGCCTGTAGTTGTCTGTGGAATTCTTCTTTCTTTTCGAGGTCTGCGTTGTTTGTGGGTGCATAGCATTGTATAAGTGACACTTTCCTTCCTTTGGAGTTGAGTCTGGCGGTCATTATCCTGGGCGAGATCGGCTCCCATTGCATCGGAGCCTTCGTCGCCGTTGGTGACATCATAATAGCCACGCCCTCGAGGTGCGAGTGGTTATCTTCTGGGTGACCGGAGTAGATCACTGACTCTCCATTTGACAATTATGTGAGTCCATTCCCGTTCCATCTGCTTTCACATATTCCCAGTACTTGAATTCCGTATCTTTTCATTTACTTTTCCAATCTCGTACACGATACGGACATTCCATGTCGCCACACAGACTTTTTCTTTTGGCGCAAGGAGATTCATTGTGCTGAAGTTCCTGTAGCAACTTTGTTTACAGGGTGGGGTTGCTAGCCTCACACCTGAGAAGGGGATTGTTACATTAAAATATAGTTTACAGAGAAGCTATCTTGTGGGTTGCTCCTCTTAAAACCGAGAAAACAAGAAATAAAACAATCAGAACAGCACCAGCAAAACGAAAATAATTAACAACAAGAAAGGCAACAAGTGACAACAACAATAATAATATCACAGTTACGTACAGTTAACAAAAATGATACCAAAATCATAGATTCACTGACTTGAGCCAACTTAGACATGTAAATCCATCAATATATACAATTATAGACAATAGTTAGTGTTAGACAGACACTAAGTGCCAAGCAGATAGTTATAGGTATTATCAGTCGACAAGATTATATCCACAGATTCAGTGTTTGAAAGGCAAACAATTACAATAATTTTTGCAACTTCTCGGCAAGAAATTCCACAAAAACAAGAGTTTTATGGAGCTACGTGAATGTAGCGTAATATGTAATGTAGCATGTAATATTTATTTATTAAAATATTAAATTAAATTAAAATAAAAAATGGACTCACACAAAAACAACTTGGAGGATCTGGACTTCGCCGATGATATATGTCTGATTTCCCACAAACTGGAAGATATGCAAGCGAAAAGCAACAAGTTGGCAGAAGAAGCATCCAGAGAAGATAGGACTCCAGGTGAACATAGAGAAAACAGAGGTGATGAAGATTCCTGGGCAACACCACCAACAGCAACAACAACAGACAACAATCGGCCAGCATAAATGGGAGGAACCTGAAAGAAACAACCTCCTTCACTACCTACCTACCTGAGAAGCATCGTCTCAACTACAGGCGGAACTGACGGGGATATCAAAGCAAGGATCATCGGAAAAGCAAGTCTGTGTGGAGGTCAAAAGCACTCAGCATCAAAAATAAGATCCGGATTTTCAACTCCAATGTGAAGTCAGTCAGTGCTACTCAATAAACGGATCAGAGACTTGCACCGCGCGTCATAAAGAGCATCTCAAACAAACTACAGACCTTCATCAACAGTTGTCTTCGCTCAATACTCGAGATCAGATGACCAGAAAACATCAGCAATAGGGGTCTCTGGGAGCAAACCAAGGCTTCCTGCCGATTGCCTCCAACCACCTAATATCTTCTCTTCTACTTCGTCTGCTTTCCTTTCAGACCCTTTAATTCAAAAGTGTACACTTTATACACACTCTGAATCTCTTATTCCTGTGAACAATATTTCTGTTTACAAGCGCTTACAATTTTAATGATGTGATCAGCTCTGAGCGCTATTCATCACTTATGTAAGATGGCTTAAGCAAGCTTAACCAACACGACTTATCGCTGTTTTCTTTCTGATATGTGTTTGCCAAGTGATATACAACAAGCGAAGTTTATTTGTATTTTGCATGAATTTTTACAACGCTATTCAACTAAATGTACAGCTGTGATGAGAAGCTGCAGAAATAGTATTCTATTTTCAGACGCAGTGCGTTGGTGGCATAGCAGTTGGTACGCTCGCCGACCATGCACATGGTCCGGGTTTCGTTCCTCGGCCGACGCACTCCTCTACCTCTCTAGGTCAGAAATAATGCTGGTAAAGAGGAAAGGTTGGGCATGACGCTAACAACCCCATCCTGTAAAAACAAACACTGCTACAGAAACTTCAAGCCACTAGCTTGAAGACCTATGTTCCACTGGGGAACGTGAAGGAAAAAAAAATTTTCAGACGCACATCTTTCTAGTTTTGCATCGCACTGGTATTTCGTACACTTTATCACAAGGCCTTCTTTGATGGAGAAGATTTTTAGCTCACGTGGATGATTTTGATGTGGTTGTGTTCTCTGAGCCAGCTGGATAGTAGTTAATTTGCGAAGCTTTCATTACCCTACTAGGTGACATCAAAAAAAGGCCTTCTTTACATTTCATCAAAAGATTTAGATTGTACGAAGCAATTTTCCAACCAAGGAAATATACACTATTCAATTCGGAACAGGGATAATTACACAGAATAGTTATTTTCGATAAATTCTTCAGGCTGTACGATCATACAATATTCATGGAAAATTCCCATTGTAACATATAGAAAATCAAAACAAGCGGTGATTCAGCGAAGAGACTCTTTTCAACAACGAATTCATCATCAACCTATACAATCGTATATACACATTTGGTTTTTAAGAAGTTATATCCGGTGAGGGAATTGAAACATAGGTGTGAATGCATAAAATAATGATAATATGAAATGCAATTAAAACTAAAATGTTTGTGATTATAATCGTAGTTAAATGTCAAGTGGCAAAGCAAATTAATGTCATACATAGAATAATTCATAGGATGGATAGAACTTGGTAGGTGAAGGGTGTGCAATTATAAGATTAGTAGACAAATCGAATAAAATAAAATAAAAACGTTACGCAATATTGTGTGAAATTCAATAGCATAGAATTTAATGTTGTTAAAAAGGAATTGATATAAAATGACAAGTGGAACAAGTGAAATAATACCGGGGACAATTAAAAGTGAGAGTACTAATAGTAACAATTGACATTGTAATATAGGAAGACAATACAAATTGAACAGACAAAATGAAAAAATTGGTAGAGCCAAAATATGATTAGGGATTACCATACTTTAGCATAGAGGGATCAAGACCATGAAAGTTGGAGGGGAGGGGTTGAACGAACTTTTTCTGTACACAGAGATCTAGCTTTTCTGTTTCGATAACCAAAGATGGCTTCAGCAATACAACAGATAAGTCGGGTACGTAGTGATTTCGGCAAATTACTTTTTGCCTTGTAGATTACTTTGAAGGCGGAGGCTATAGAGATAGGGTGACCATTATCAACCAGATGTTCAGTGGTCGCGCTTCTTATTGCTCCACTTCCACCACTCCGTAACCACCAGGCAGGATGGTGTTCTCGCACCCTTTTGGACAAAACTCTTGTCGAACGACCGATATACCTTGCTCCACACGAGCAGGTGAATTGATAAACACACATAGAGTTGGTCAACAGCGGGATCTTGTCCTTGTTCAGGTTATTGAACAATAAAAGTCGACTATTATTATTTATTATTATTATTTCCTTTAGTTCCTAGAGGAACATAGGGCTTCAGCCATGCGTCTCCATTGCGTTCGGTTCTCTTCTAGAGTTTTCACCTGGCTCCAAGTCTGCCCACACGTTTTCATCTCCTCTTCACATGATCTCCTCCAGGTCATCCTTGGACGACCAACTCGTCG